AGAGAAGATGTTGCCTGATGCTGGCCTCCAGGTTGAATGAGAACGGGACAGCGAGGAGCTTGCTTGGAGGAGGTGTTGCGTGTTCAGGAACCAAGAGCAGAATGAGAGAGCTGGTTGGTGAGGACGCTCAGAGAAGGACAGCTGGTGGGTCGCCATGCTCGCCGGCGGGAGCGAGGACCGCCAGGCAGGCGGAGGAGGAGGTGTTGCGTGTTCAAGAAGAGAGGCCAGAATGAATCTTAATTGTTGTTGTATAGATTGTCGGACCGTAGTCCGACACGGGCCTTTGCCTATAGGCGGCCCGTTTGGTGGTTCCGGCTGGAGCTCCATGAGCAGCCAGACCGGATTGGGATTGGAGGTGGTCCCACCTGCAGATTGGAGGGATACTGCAGGTTGCAAGTGTGAGCGGACCCCCGATCAGTGGACGCTTACCACCAGCCCCCACTCTTGGACGTGGTCAGCTTCGGAGTGGCGCGCCCCCCGAACTGGGGTCCGCACTTGCTGGGAGAGGATGCTTTCTAAGCTATCTGGGTGGTGGGTATCGTGTGATGACCCGGAGTAGGTGGTGAATGTGGTCTGTATGGGTTAGAGTGGCCGCTGGTGTTGTGTGTGTTTCTTGGGAGATTTGAGTTCTGTTTCGGAGGCTTTGTGTGACCTCGCAATCGAGGAGATAGTGTTCAAGTGGGTTGGCTGCTGGCTCCTGACAGTAGGTGCATTCCATGACGTCATTTCCGATCATCTGCTTATATACACAGCAGCCGGAAGTAAACTCGCCGGTTTCTCGACTCCATTGCTAGGGAAGACGTAGCAGGTGGCTGGTTGCTAGGATACTGTGGCATCTGGTGACGCCCCCGGCCGCTCGTTTGGTTGCTAGGATACTGTCACATTGGAATGCGGCTACGCAGTTGTAGGGGAGACGTCCACTACAACATCATTCAAGATTTACACCAAGAGCTAACTCATTATTATTCGCTAATGATTAAGAATTTAAGACGAGACCATCCCCCAAAAACTTCGTATCCAGTTATTTGAAAAAGGTTAAAAGAACCAAGAAAAAATTGAGTGGACGTACTCCGTGTATCTGTGGACTGTGTTCTCTCAATGGTCAATTAAGCCCAACGATTCTGTATTCAATACTTTAATCTGATTCATTCCTCATGTATATCTTATTATGTAAATGGTCAGGTCCAACCCCCCCCCCCCACACACACACCACATATTCTCACAGTCTGTCACGAACACAAGTTAAAAATAATTTCAGCTTTAAGGGAAAATTCATCCACTAGTGAAAGAAATTCCATTAACTCAAGGTGGTCGGGGTGTGTGTGTCATTATAGAAAATTGCGGCCTGCTGCAGGGGTAACTCGCTCAGTGCATTCTCGTTCAAACATGAAATTTCGTAAGATCTGTGCAGCAGCTTACAGCCTCAGAAACTGTGACTAGACTCCAACCCTACAGTGCACTGATTTGTAATTTATAAGAGACATACTGTTATCAATGCCTTCTATTCACTTCTTTAATGCAACACAATAATTATTTTACCTGCACTGACTGCAAATAGCACACCTGAGTAGAAATAGCCACACTGACTGACAATAGTACACCTGATGACTGAAAATAGCACACCTGAGTAGAAATAGACACACCTGATGACTGAAAATAGCACACCTGAGTAGAAATAGTCACATCTTACTGACAATAGTACACCTGAGTAGAAATAGCCACACCTGACGACTGAAAATAGCACACTTGAGTAGAAATAGCCTCACCTTATTGAAAATAGCACACCTGCGTAGAAATAGTCGCATCTGAGTAAAAATAGCCACACCTGAGTAATACACGTATTTAACAATATATTCCCTTGCTAGCGAATAAAGCTTTAGTTTATCTTTACGAGAATGAATTTCCATAAATTTTTAATTTAGTATATCTAATTTCTTGCGAAACTTTGAGAGAAATAACAAACGGGGTGGATGAAGCAACACCCAATTGATGTACCCATTTATATTTAACATTAATTAACTAAAAAAAAACACTAATCTCATAAAGCGATTATATTAATTTTGTTAAATGAAAATAAAAACTTTTCTCTTTGGCGTTGTATACATTCTGGTCAAATAGCATATTATTGAGCAATAGTCGGTATTATCAGCAAGTACCCAAAATTTAGTGTAGTACGAAGCTGTAACACGTTGCTTGGGAGATCCACCACACCTCCAGTCTTGCCGAGAATCTTTTTATCTCTACGACGGTCGGAAAGCGTTATTCTTCACCTGACCCAGAGACTAACTGTATCCTCAACTGACTGACTCAGTGATTAATTGGTTTATCAAGTGACTGTGTGTATCAAATCATGGTAGCGTGTGTTAATACGTGTTAAAACATGGTAGCGTGTGTTAGTAGGTGTTAAAACATGGTAGCGTGTGTTAGTAGGTGTTAAAACATGGTAGCGTGTGTTAGTAGGTGTTAAAACATGGTAGCGTGTGTTAGGTGTTAAAAGATGTTAGCGAGTGTTAGTAGATGTTAAAACATGGTAGCGTGTGTTAGTAGGTGTTAAACACGTGTAATAATAATAATAATAATAATAATAAACGGTTTATTAATAGAGTTGCAGCCGGTGGCTGAAAATATACAGACTTACATTTGATTTAGACATAATGATATAATTTGCATTGAATACATTTACAGGGCTGTACAGTACATAAATCAGGAGTTGTTTATTATTTTAACAATAGATGGGATGGTGCTGTTCTTATATCTATCGGTGCGGGCTCTTATGGGCTGAATTTTGTTGTAGTGGCGGACTGCGCGAGTTGGGTGGGGGGCTGCAGGTGGCAGGAGGTGGCGATGACGAGGGTGGTGCAGTAGTCCATTGCCAAACCTTTCCAGTGCTTGGTGGTGGAGGTCACTGTGGGATGGCATTTCCAGGGTGGAGAGAGCGTTGGTGTAGCCGGAGTATTCTGAGCCGAGCATGATTCTGCAGGCCCTTTTCTGTGCCTTCTCTAGCTGACGTTGTTGGGTGGAGTTGTGAGTGACTGTGTGTTAAAAGTATGATAGCCAGTGATAGTTATCGTTAAAGGCGTGTTAATGTATGATAGTAAAAGTTTAGAGTAAGTTAACGTGTGTTCGTGCATGTGTGGACATCACGACTGTTGGACGTAGATTGTGGCGCGCTCTTCCCTGGTGTTGTGGAGGGTCCTCAACTAAACAGTGCCGTGTCGGGGGGTGGGGTGAGCTGCGCATGGTCAGGGGGCTGCGTAGAGTCAAGGGAGCTGTGCTCGCCTTCCCTCCCTGCTAGTGTTTGGTGGATGCGACTCCCATGTTTTTTTTTTTACAGTGATTAGCCCACCCGGGCACAGGTCACTGACCCACATCAGGGCCTGGGGGGCGAAATATTATAATAATAATAATAATAATAATATTAATAATAATAATAATAATAATAATAATAATAATAATAATAATAATAATAATAATAATAATAATAATAATAATAGTAATAATAATAATAAAATAATTAAAAAGTAAAATAATAATAATAATAATAATAATAATAATAATATTAATAATAATAATAATAATAATAATAAATAAATAAATGGAAAAATCAATCAATAGTGAGAAACGACTTTATTTATGTTGTGTTGTCAATAGTAAGAGAAACAATTGAGACCCTGCAATTGTGTGTAAATGAGGCAGAAAGACAGATCAGCAACCTGGGACTTGGTCACAATTTTTGTGATGCCATATGGCAGCAGGGTCTACCATTAGACAACACATTATATTTCCAATATCTTCCCAGGCGGTAGTACCTCCCTGTTTGGTAGCTGCCTACTACCTACTATCCAAAATGGTTATACTGTAGTATTAATTTTTCTTCCCGAGGATAAAAATTTCTCCTTTATATTTTTTTTTCATCAAATGTATCCAAAAGTGGGGAAAAATAGAGAATTAAGGTGAGAATAACTTACTATAAGAATAATATTCTCTCTCTCTCTCTCTCTCTCTCTCTCTCTCTCTCTCTCTCTCTCTCTCCGCATCGCTATATGAGAAAGAATCACAATACAGTGGATTATTGGTGAAAGAGATTGCAGAAGAGAGAGAGAGAGAGAGGGGGAGAAATATTAGAGAGGCACTGTAGGAGAGAGAGAGAGAGAGAGAGAGAGAGAGAGAGAGAGAGAGACGTCTAGGAACACGGAGTAAAAAGCCACCCAGGTGCTCTAACAGTCAAGTTCTCAAAAGGCGTAAAAACAAGAGAAGGTCGAGGTCGTACACAGGAGGGCATATAGTGTTATGCCCCAGCCCGTCTTTAACAGCGCCTCGGTCACCAGCTAACTGTTGTCTCGGTTGTCACCTGATCACCTTACTTAGATACGCTCCATCTGGTGAGAACAATGTAAGAATGGGAATGTAAGGCATATTTTTGTATATATTTCTATGTGGTAATCGACCATCATTGTGGAGTATGAAAGGGATACTTATATCCCTCGTGAACCGAAGGAAGAAAAGGGTGTGGTAGTTGTCGTGTGAGGACTGTATAAGAGATGGTGAGGGTGGTCGAGGCGTGAGGCAGGTGAAGGTGTGTTGCTCAAGTCCTGTTTCCACCCGCAGTTATGAGTAAACTCTTCGGATATTCCTGAGTAATGCAATAAACAAGACGCGCAGTTGGTCCATCCTCAGGTCCGCCTCACCCTTCCAAGCACAGCAACACCAAATAGTCTTTACTCACCAACGATTACAATTCCGATTTTTTTTTTTTTGGCGATTTTTCCTATCCACGAGCTGATGACTTTCACAATCCCAAGTCAATTAATGTATTCAAAAGAAATGCAGCGAGAGGAGGTAAAAGTGGCCGTATATGTCTGTGGTGGCAGCAAACAGCAGGTTGGGAGCAGCAACCCACTTCCCTGCCCGGGACTTCCCCTCCTGTACACCTCAGACAAATAGAAGCAAAAAAACTGGGCGTCGTGAGCGCGGCTGCAGCCACTCAGTTTCACTCTTGGCACAGGAGCCGTGGCGTTCAAACCCAAATATTCTCTCTAGAGAGTCGCGATCCTCTCCACACACGACTCTAGTCATACAGTCTGTGCTGATTTTACTAATCAAGAACTGTTGTTAGAAAATTGTGGGGAGATAATACCTGGGATATCAAGACAGTGTTGGTGCGCGACGGAGAGTTTAAACCCATCACAGGTACGCTGGTGCTGTTTATTGTGAATTCTTCTGGTGTATTTTTTCTTACAGTTTTCTTACATTGTTTTGTCGTGTGTGTGTGTGTGTGTTTTGACATAATCTTTGCATAGGCCTAAGTTAAAAATCCTTTTCAGCTAGAGTTCTGAAGATATAATCTGGCATTAGTGTTTTACCGTTTTATTGCACACAAATGAACCTATAAGTGTTTATGGGGTCAAGATATAATGTCCACAACAAATATGTAATTGCACACACTTTACTTCCACACACACACATACATATATATATATATATATATATATATATATATATATATATATATATATATATATATATATATATATATATATATATATATATATATATATATATATATATATATATATATGAACGTTCACTCTTCTTCCTTGGACATGAACAAATTAACATGCACATATATATATATATTCTACAAGCACTAACATACTGTATAAGACAGATTGGGTCTCATGAATAGTCTAACGCAGACTAATAATAATAATAATAATAATAATAATAATAATAATAATAATAATAATAATAATAATAATAATAATAATTATAATTATAATAATAATAATAATAATAATAATAATAATAATAATAATAATAATAATAATAATAATAATAATAATAATAATAATAATAATAATAATAATAATAATAATAATAAAATTAGTTGTCCCTCGTGTTTGGGGATGGTCGGCCCTAGGGCCACCTAGGCGTGAATTTGTTGAAGGTGTAGAAGCTGTCGCCAACACAACAATCACACCCTAAGTTAACAAGTTGTATGAATCAGTGTCAAGAAATAGTCCGAGAAGACCGGACAACTTGTCAACTACACTGGCTAACCATTACCCTGGAATACGATCCGCAAATCGATTAACTTCCAGGTCCCCAAACACTGCTTGAGTAGACAGAGGCAAATGGCGTAAAGAAACTTGATCACAAACATACACACACAGAACACACTGAAACGAGATGGTGTGACTAAAAGTTCTATTGCAAAATGTAAGCAAATACTTATATATTTTTCTATTTGTATCTCCTTCATGTCTTCAAAAGTCCACTAGCGTTCCACTATTACGTCAACAATATCCCGACATTTGTTAAATTTTTTATAAGGTCTCCTTCTTTACTTCCTTCAAACTTCTTCACTTCTCCCCTCCTCCACCTCTCCAACCCCGCCGCCCCAGAGACTCTTGAAGATATGCGGGTTCAGGCAATCAGCGGACTGGAAAACGTTGGAATATTTTCCGTTTGGCGGGAACAGCACCAGCCCCTCGCCCCTGGAGTGGCCTCGTATCCCTCCTTCTTAGTTTTAAGGACCATGAAGGTTGACCTTTTCTTATCTTTGTTTTTTATTTTTTTGCACACCCGCACTTCTGAAGTACCATATTTTCTCCTTGCTATCATGTTGCCTCCATCTACCATAGTTCGTATCCCATTCCCATGATTAATCTTTTCTCTTCCATGGTCCACCTCTTCTTCCATTATTCCCCCACTTCTCCCACCATCAGCAGCAGAGACCCTTGTACACCCCAGGCTCTCCCACAACTGACCACCAGCGCGACTCACTGGCGACACAAGGCAGCCAGACCTTCTTGTGATCCCACGGTAAATTTGTATGTTCCTTTTAATGGAATGTAAGATAGCCTGGGTCATAACATCGTCTCAGCTGTCCTTTGTGTTTACATCATCTGTCCAGCTTTCTGTTCGTCGTCCTCCTTCACATCCTTCTATCCCGGAGCTCCTGTGTGTGTGTGTAATAATATAATAATAATAATTAACGGTTTATTGAAAAAATTCTGCAGCCCGAAGGCTGAAAATATACGTTGGACATAAATGACTTATTACATACAGTACATTGGTGGTTTAACAAAAGCCTTCATTAGAGAAAGGTAAAGGAACATACAGTGAACATACAGATTAATGTAGGTGTTGAACAGCAAACTCGTAGTGTAGTAACTCCCTCCCAGATGGTGTTAGGAGGAACTCACGTGGTGTAGTAGTTCCCTCAGATGTTGTTATGAGGGACCTGGCGTGGTGTAGTAATTCCCTCGCTGATGGTGTTATGAGGGGCCTCACGTGGTGTAGTAATTCCCTCACAGATGGTGTTATGAGGGACCTCACGTGGTGTAGTAATTACCTCACAGATGGTGTTATGAGGGACCTCACGTGGTGTAGTAATTACCTCACAGATGGTGTTATGAGGGGCCTCACGTGGTGTAGTAACTCCCTCACAGATGGTGTTATGAGGGGCATCACGTGGTGTAGTAATTCCCTCACAGATGGTGTTATGAGGGGCCTGACGTGGTGTAGTAATTCCCTCACAGATGGTGTTATGAGGGACCTCACGTGGTGTAGTAATTCCCTCACAGATGGTGTGATGAGGGATTTGACGTGGTGTAGTAATTCCCTCACATATGGTGTTATGAGAGATATGTGGTGTAGTAATTCCCTCACAGATGGTGTTATATGAGTGAGGTTTGGTCCCAGGCCTTCCTATCGTAGACGGATTGACACATCGGTGGTTGTTGTTGGGTTTCGCGGGGGCCGTTATCACTGGGTACCTGGGACCTCACTGTGTGAAGGTTAACTTGGGTGCGACTGTTACTGTTGAGTTGTTCTCACTGATTCAAGCACTGTTCACCACTGTTCACCTCGGTTTAACACTGGTTCCGTTCCTTTCCAAAATGAAATTGTAACTTCTGGCGAGAACTTGTTGATATTCCGGTGGGGAGGAGGGTTCAGGGGAGGGGGTTGGTATGGGCCAACTTAACAGTTGACCTGGCTGCTCCGAGAGGAGCGCCAGGTACGTCTTGACCCTTCGGTGGTCAAGGATGTGTGTGTGTGTGTGTGTGTGTGTGTGTGTGTGTGTGTGTGTGTTGATGATTTTCACAAAGTGCTCTAGCAGTCAGGACCGTCTTGGGCGTGGTGTGTGATGGTTCACAAGAGGTTGTGATCGCTATGCGTAGCAATGTGGTCATGGAGGCTATTCGTGTCCAGAAATTTATTTTAAGATAAAAATAATGAACCATTTTCTCACTGGTGTCAGAAAAGAGAACCTCGCAACATGTCATACAGACTCGTCCAATAAATTTATTCGTCTTTGCATAACATGAAATCTATGGGTTTCTTCATGATCTCATTATGTAAACAAACTTAACAATTGTCATGTTTTACATCAGCATTTTTTCTGTACTGTATTCGGGATCATATTTTTTGTATTTAATATTATATAGAAGGAATAACTTTTACAGTAACATCTTTGGTAAGAGTTTCACCTAGGAAGATCTGATGAGTGATGGGGAATGAATATCTGTTATTTGCTGATGTCACACACACACACACACACACACACACACACACACACACACACAATACCATCAATGATCTCCATTAATTCCACGACATCACGGTGTTAAAAGAATGAAACAAGTTGTGTTGTGGGGCGGATCTATGAGGCGGTGTACCCCCCCCCCTCCTCTTCTCCTTCAAGGTCGTCCTCCACCCGCCTGTTTCAACATCTTCAAGGTAGCCTCAGCTATTTCATTTTAACCCAGGGTCGCTTATAGGTTCTTGTCTTGTAATGGATCTTCTCAACCTATCCTGACATTCCCTCGTGTCAGCGCTGATAAAAACTGATAGGCAGCGGAGGGCATTACCTCAAGTCTCTCTCTCTCTCTCTCTCTCTCTCTCTCTCTCTCTCTCTCTCTCTCTCACACATTTTCACATGGCTTAGTTAATCTGTTCAACTGCTTTATCAATTTATGTACTGTTCAGCTTCTTAGTTTGCCTCTTCGAGGAGCAACTTGTTCATCCGGCTCATGTTTCCAAAGGTGGTGAGAGTTGAAGGTACGGAGGCTTATGGAACAATAATAATAATAATAATTAACGGTTTATTGAAAGAGCATGGCAGCCAGAAGGCTGAAAATATACAGTTACATAATTGGGGAATGGGTCTCTTGATTTATGTGGGCGTGGTGGCTCATGTGTGTGGCCGTAGTGAGCGGTTTATGTGTGGGCATGGTCGTGGCTCATGTGTGAGCGTGGTGGTGGCTCTTGTGTGGGCGTGGTGGTGGCTCATGTGTGTGGGCGCAGTGAATGGTTTATGTGTGGGCGTGGTGGTGGCTTATGTGTGTGGGCGTGGTGAGCGGCTTATATGTGGGCGTGGTGGTGGCTCATGTGTGTGGGCAGCTTATTGATGAGCGTTCTTGCGTGGGCATGGGCGGGACATCAACATGAGTGTGGTGGGCGGGTCAGTGGGTGACAGTTACACAGGCTCCACAGGTAGCATCAAACACATGGAAGATCGAAATGTTTGAGATGAATCAGAGAAGTCACAAAACTCCTACGAGGGTGTTGTTGTGGTGTAGGAGGTGCCACAATGGGTGGTGTAGGAGGTGCCATAATGGGTGGTATAAGGGGTGGTGCAAGAGGTGCCTTAATAGGGGGTGTAGTAGGTGCTATAATGGGTGTAGCAGCAGGTGACATAATGGGTGGTGTAGGAAGGGCCATAATGGGTGGTGCAGGAGGTGACATAATGGGTGGTGTAGGAAGGGCCATAATGGGTGGTGCAGGAGGTGACATAATGGGTGATGTAGGAGGTGCCATAATGGGTGGTGCAGGAGGTGACATAATGGGTGTAGTGGCGTAATATGTTAAAAGCTATGCCGATATACCTTTAATTCCTGTGTCCTTCACCAGGGTGTAACAGTGCCATGTTTTTATAGGGAGTAAAGCTTAATAATGCCTCGTCTGTAAATGTACTCCACCACTTCAACTCTGTGAACTAACTTTTTTCTATTATTTTGAATATTTTTTTTTATCTTGATGCTGTGAAACACATATGCACATATGCAGTATACATACATACATACATACATACATACATACATACATACATACATACATACATACATAAATACATACATACATACATACATACATACATACATACATACATTCATTCATACATA